AAAAAATACAATTAAACTTGAAAATATTTTCAAACATATATAATACAATATTACTTAAAAATAATTTCTTATACATTTAATATTTACAGTAAACATGAAAATGTATATAGGCCTATATAATTTTAAAATATTTAAATGTACAATTTAGAATGTTTTAGAGCAACGGTATTCAAACATTTTAACAGTGCGACCCCGCATGGGTCATTGAGGTAACATGCCGACCTAAAATTAAAATAATCAATAATCTAGTTCTAATTGCTCAAAAACTAGGACTAGGTAATATTAAACATCAGGAAGATGTTAATTTATTTTTCTTTATTTCATACAAAACAAACATTAGTGTCAAAACAGTTACAATAAACTGAAAACAACTCTATAGTTACCAAATATTAAATTGAAAAATTGATCAGCATTATTCATTTATAACTTTTAATATTAAAATATGGCGTATAACACGTAAGAACTTAAAAGAAATTTAGTTTAAAAAATACAAAAGGAAAATATTTAATGAGACCTTTGAGCTTGTTTCTTGTTTACAAGTAGTGATATTTCTGGCTCTATTTTACTCAATTTGTGTCTTAAAGGTGGCTCTATTGCTAACTTGTTTCGTTATTTAGATTTTAAGTAGAGAAATTGGGAAAATCCCATCTCGCACATATAAGATGTTGCAAATAGTAATAATACATTTAGAGCTGCATCAGACAGTTCTGGATATTCATTTCGAACTTCAAACTAAAAATTACTCAATTCAAGCTCTTCGAAAGCAAATTTTAATTCTCCATCAGATGAAAACTCAGTTAGTTTTTTCGCTTAAATTTAATGATAAATTTTGGATAATACACACTAAAAGTGATTCCACATCCATTGTCAGAAAAATCTTCCGGAAAATAAGTATTAAATTAATATTTAAGATCTGTCAAGTGAGTTGTTATATCTTTAATAACCGATTGATTAACTTCTACTTTGTTTTCTGTAACAAAACTTTCTAAAGTAGGAAACGCTGCAAAATTAATCTCTTTGCAGTATGAGCATCACAAGTCTATTTTCTTTCTTTTTTTTTTTTTTTTTGTAAAGGCTTTGATTTTATCATTGGCCATAAATTATATTTAATTGTTCACCTTGAAGACTTAAATTCAACTCGCTCAATTTGAGAAAATTATCATCCAACTGAAGACTGAAAAATTTACTTTTTTGAATTCTACTTATAAGTTCGCCTTCCACATTTTCTGCCATTTCGAATATTCTGCGACCAATTGTTGTATCAGAGAGTGGTATTTGATATATCTGTTGGTTTTCCTTTTCGCCAAACATAATACCTACTATATCCTGAGTTGCTGGAACAATTAACTCTTCAGCAATTGTGTACAGTTTGCTGTAAGATAGCTCACTCGGTAAGAAGCCTCCAATGCTTTTTTGTTAATATTGGTAAAAGTAGACATAAAATTTTGCCAACATGTCAAATGCCCTACTTTTTCTGAAAAAATTCAATGGTTTTATCTTCGGATTCCGGATGTTTGGTGTGTAGGTGCCTCTTCAGTTTGATTTCAGTGACTCGTTTGACAGTACCGCCAGGCACATAAGGCATCCAGCCCTTGGTTTATCATCTTTAGTACATACAAAACAATATTTTATAAACTCATTGTCAAACTTACGAACTCGTTTATTTCCTTTTACTTCTTTATGTCTCGACTCTGTAGAGGTAGAAGCTTCCAAACGTATTTGGTCTGCGTCAGAAGTTAAAGCAGCCGAAATCGAGGCGCTTATAATTAAACTCACAAATGGCCACCTGACGGTGTAAATAGAATATGCATTATCATCACTTGTTTGCTAAATCATGTGAATTGCCAAAAGCGACGTTACACGACGTCATCCGAGACATATCCGAACCTCTATCTCTTTGAACTCGTTGTTCTAAAAATATAGTAATCTGTCTAGAATTTAATAAAATTTCACATTTTAGAAACTAATATTTTTCTCAAAAAATTTGTCAACTATGTATTTGTATTCAATTAAATTTATTTACAATTTTTCTATCCACCTTTCGACCCCAAAGTCATTTTTCGTGATCACAAATGGGGTCGCGACCCATAGATAGAATACTACTGTTTTAGAGCTGTTACATTATTTTAAAACTTACAGTAGCGTGCCGTCATTAGAAGCGGTGGAAGCGCCGCTTCCCTTGTATTTTTATAAAAAACAAATACATATTAATTTTAATTATATGAAAATAATCGCACAATATTTTATTATAACCGCATTATGTATCTTATTACAAATTTCTATACTACACGTGAAAAAAAATAAGATTGCTATTGTATATTCGAATATTAGTGGCGGAGTGGAATCTCTGTATTGTCAGATTCCAAAAACCCAGATTTGCGCATGTGCTTTACAGAGCACCAACCTCACCCGGTTTAGCCGGTAGAAGCCTACTACATTGGGTTGATGCTACACATATAACGCTTCCAATTCTATCCGGGACCGGTTCCGGGCTGCAAGCTGCCCGCCCGCTATATATTTGGCCGATTGCGTGAATAACGAGTAGATTTATAACTTAACCCAACCGATAAGAATTTACTGGTATGTTTTTACGATAGTTCTGTATAGTTGTCAGGAGTTTAAAAAATCCATTAAAATATTTGATATNCGAGTAGATTTATAACTTAACCCAACCGATAAGAATTTACTGGTATGTTTTTACGATAGTTCTGTATAGTTGTCAGGAGTTTAAAAAATCCATTAAAATATTTGATATTTCTATTCTGCTCTCCGATTTTATATTACTCACGGATTTCGATGTTAAACCAGTGATATTACGATTTCGTATGTTCCATCTCTAAGGGGATGTAGAAAAAAACGTGTACAATTCTTGTACAATGTTACTTCGACAATGTTCTTGTACAATGTAACTGTTACTTCGACAGCGTCATTTACAACTAAATTTAATGAATGAGAGAGATGCATCAGATACAGAAAAAGCTCTAGAATTTATTTTCCTTAAATTTACAATTTACGTATCCGTCTGTCATAAAAATTTGTCTTTCCACTTTTTTCCCGAGACTACAAATATTTGAGTACAAAGTAACTGGTTTCGACTTATTTCTACTTTAATTAATTAAGTAGTACAGTAGAGCCTCGATTATCCGACTCAATTGGGGACTGGGGTTGGTCGGATAATTGAAAAGTCGGATAACCGAAAAGTATGAAAAAATCCATTATTAGTGTAGTATATTATTATATCCCATGTAATTAGTATATTAGTATATCGCTATTAACCTATTTTGTGTTGAATTTTCATCGATGTTAAGCCTAACAAAAATTTTTTAAATAATAATCGTCGCTATTGTATCGTTAAAAATTAGAAAATTAAGCCTCGTTTAAATACTGGCTCCCTTTCATGGTCAATCCAGTGTTGCCAGCTAAAACACGTAAAAATAATATTAAAGTAGGCAAGACATAGCCAAATATTGTAGCGCTACATCACTAGCACACGTTTGAAATTTGCCGACTAGGGCGGTCGGTTAACCGAGGTGTCGGTTAATCGGGGGCCGGATAATCGAGGCTCTACTGTAGTTAAATAATTAAGCGATTAGGGAATTGGAGACATAAACAAAACTCTGACGAAAGAGCCGGAATATTACTTAAATAAAAGCTTAACCGAACCAATCTATAGCCGAGTACAGTGGGGACCAATTTCTTCGAAATACTGTATTAAATGTAATATAGACAGAAATTTTTCCAGTTCAACGAGAGTGACCGAAAAGTTGTAAATTTTGGAAATTTCCGTGGACAGCACCTGGTCCTCAAACGAATTAGTTAGAAAACAAAAGACGGACAATCTATTAAGTTTAACGTATTTAGANAGTTCAACGAGAGTGACCGAAAAGTTGTAAATTTTGGAAATTTCCGTGGACAGCACCTGGTCCTCAAACGAATTAGTTAGAAAACAAAAGACGGACAATCTATTAAGTTTAACGTATTTAGATTTTTTACAGCTATGATGAGAAACGTTTAAAATTTACAACAACCCTGTCGCGTCCTTTGAGATATACTAGTGATACTACAAAAGACGTTAACCGGTATCGGCACCCTCGGGATTTGGCATGCATGCACGCACTGCACACCTACCAAGATCGTCTCTGATTCCATCCCACTGATAGGGAGCACTTTTAACTAAATGGATTGTTTTAATATTTAAAAAGTAAAGAATATCTTATGCTATTTTTATGTACGTTTCTTCACAAAACTATATTCATACAATCGAATATTTTGTACTAGGTATGTATAATTGTATAATTGTATATCGATCACACATTTTATTTTAACAAGTAAGTTTTTATAATTTTATTTTTAATTTTAGCCCTTATATCGTGGCTAGCAATTTAGAATGTAATTGTGATATTGAAAATTTATTTCAAAAAGTTTTGGATCGAGACCTTATAATGAAAAAGAAAACATTATTAAAAGAGAAAGATCAATGCCCAAATTAAATATAAATACGTCGACAAAAAAATTTGTTCGACATTTTCATGATGAAATTTATGAAGATATAAAATGGCTCTGTGGATGCATAAAAATTCAAAAATTGTTTTATTAGCCTTGCCTACTATTTTCAAATAAAATTAGTGTGTGGAATAAGGTTGGCTTTGACAATTTAAATAATTTTAGTAAAGCTGGCAAAAGACACGAAAATCCTAAACCTCGCATCGAATCTTTCGTAAAATTGAAGCAATTTGGAATCAAAATAGAATACAGTTTAACATTAGTACACAATATAAAATAAATATTGAAAATTATAACGAGATAGTTACGGCTAATAGATATATTATATTTTAATTATTAGATGTTATCGAAGCGAGAATTGGCATTTAGAGGGCGTAGAGAATCTATTAAATCTAATATAACAGAGTTAATTATATTGAACTTGCTTATTTATTAAGTACGTTAGATAATCTATTAACTAAAAATACATTTAGAGAAGTCTACGGTTTTTACTGGCTTATCGAACAAACGAATACGAATGGCCCCTAGACCATCACTGACTGATTGCCCCTGGAAGTCGGCTTGTTACAAAAACACAGCTTCCCTATCATCAAATGTCACGGCACGCCCCTGAAAACTTAGCAATATTATCCATTGTGTGATAGAATATATATTAAATCACAGCATGACATATTTCACAGGAAATTCTTTGAATTCATTTAAAATTAAGGCATTCTTAATTTTTTTCTTTCTGCTTCAAGTTTTTTCTTTAAACTTTCCGTGTCCATACGAAAGAAGTCTTCCAGATACTTAATGGCTTCCCAAGAACCAACTGCAGATACGACTAAAGAATTTCTTTCTGAACTTCTAATAGTTAAAGATTTTAAATCAACCAACGAACATAAGATATTTCGCAAAGTATCAATTTTCTTGTTTTTAAGTCCTGGAAGTATTTTACCAGAAAGCTTAACGGGTTTTAATTCTACTAGTTCATTTAATTGGTCGTACTGTTTAATTTGGCAAAATACGGACGAATTGCCAGTTGCAGCCAAAACATTGTATGTGTCTTTAGCCCAAGAAGAGATCCAACCTAAATTTTTAGGAAGAGAAGAATTACTTCTGACAGATTTTAAAAACTCCAAACATAAATTAGCAATGTTGCTTTTCTTTACATTTGATTCTGCATCACCTACTTCGCTTATATTACAATTATTTTGTAAAATGCAGGGAAAGTATTCTAAAAGCCAAAGTTCGTCTTCTGGTTTGAATTTTTCGTTTCTGTTCATCCAGTGACCAATCAATCTGTAAGCCGATGTTATTATATTTGGAGGAACGAAAAAGCGCGATAGATCAAGTTCGTCTTCACTGTCAAGTATTGGATATTCGTTTATTATCGATTGTAAATGATTGTCAAAAATTGTAATTATTGAAGTTTGAAGTGTTTTTTCTTTAGCCTGCTTTGCTTTTAAGTTGATCAAGTATTTTGAAATTATCCACGGAAAACTAAGAAATCGTGCAGAATTGCTGCTGTAAGTAATAACGTACCATGCAGACGCTTTCTTCAATATATCGTCCAATATGTTCGGATCTATATTTTCAGTATCAGCTGAAATTCCAAATTCCTGATGAAATTCGTTTCTAAAACGCTTCTGCAATGTTTCTACAGATTGCACAACGAGTTTTTCAGCGTTAAAAGCGTCGTGTCTTTCGGAATGTCGCTGGTGAAGTCTTCGAAATGCGCCCGAAATTGCCTCAGCTTCCGTTTGAACTCCATATCTATGCATCAAAATTTGAAGAAAATGATTGTAGTTTTGTCTAGAAATTCGTGCAGATTCTTCGTATTCTTCCCAACCAGGATAAATTAAGTCAGGATCAATCTGAAATATCGAATAATCATTGTTAGAATTCTTAATATGATTATATTAGATTTATAAATCGTTCAAGAATTATTTTGACGTAATTAATGTATTATATAGCGTAAAGAGTTGTTTTTCCTTTTAAACACTTTAATTTATGGTTATTTTTAATTATTCACCTGTAATTTAACGGTTTCCCGTTGGACACATGTAGTTTTCTGTTCAAATATTTCACAATTTCTGTATAAATCACCCAAAGCACGTTTTGATCGATAAGTTTCTCTGTCAGTTCCTCTTTCCATAAAATCTGGATATTTTTGTGGCTTTTCCTCGCATGTTAGGGGTTCTATATAACCAGACTTTACATAATCTAATGCCAGAGAGAATTTTCGAGCAATCTCTTTGCAGATTGGAGTATGTATACCAAATTTATCTGAAATTGCCAAGTGGGCACTTCCGATTATACCAATCTGGTCATTTTTAATGTATTCTTTCAGCATTTCGGTTGTTGTATGTATCTACGAAATATAGAATTTGAAATTTTTATTGAAAATTAAAAAATAAATTGTATCTAATAACTTACATCGAATGTAGCACTCGACTGTTTATCTTCTTCGGGAGAAGGGAAATTTTCCGGTTCTCGGTTACGAGAGAAAAATAAATTTTTTCTCCAAATAACGGCGTATTCATCTCCATCGAGATCGGATCCTGATATAAAAATAACACTGTTACTCATTTAAAAATATTAATTGATTATTAGATTACTTATCGCATAATATTAATAAACATAAACTGATAACACTAAATGTAATCTCTCGTTAATCCACATTTACATTTAAAGGATGTAGAAAATATTTGTCTACAAGCAGCAGGAAATAAAATATAGCATACTTGCTGTTACCCGCGGCTTTGCCCGCGCGGATTTTGCAAGCAAACCCCATTTATATTCAGTATTTCAACAACCATAGTAATTGTTACATAATACCTACCCCTGAGAATGATCACAATTGCCGAGAATCAAACGAACTATTTTCAATTTGATCGATTTTCTGGAACGTTTACAATCGTTCTATAATCGAACCAATATGCAATAACAAATTCGAATTTAAAACGGTTCGAACATTTTTAAAAATCGAAATAGATAAAAATATTTATAACAATGTCTGAAATGTTATCAAATTAATACACCTAAGTACTCGATGAACACTAAATCCTCTCCCTCTCCCCCCGCGGGAAAATTTCGAAAAATTCCTTCTTATTGTGCATTGCCATGGAATATCCTACTTAAACGCAGATAAAAACAAAAAATCGCATCTAAACTAGTACAGTAGAGCCGTTTTTCCGGTTAAGCCTTAATGCTCTCCCTCTCCCCCCGCGGGTGAATTTCGGAAAATCCCTTCTTAGTGTGTGTTTTCATGACGTACCCTAACTATGGACCAAATTTCACCTCTTTAGGTTCAGCGGTTTGCTCTGGGCGATGATGAATCAGTGAATCATTCAGTCAGTCAGGAAAAGCAATTTTATATATATAGATTTATTGAATTTTTAAAAAGTAAAACTATCTATCAAGTTTATTAACACAGTATGAAAATGTTATAAAATATAATTTTGCGGGAATTATCTCAAAGGAACTATTACAAACAATAATCCACACAGAATACATGAACTAAAGAAGAACATTATAAAGGCGACTGCCAACATCAGTGTTCAAGTGCTCCACATGATGGCAGCAAACACGGCAAAAAGAACTGGCGAACATTTCGAAAATATGTTATAATAACATAATTTCGTTTAGCTTAAAAATTAGTTTATATGTAAACTTTGCTTTAACCTCACAACATAAAACTGATTCCTAACACGCGTGCGTGAATTTTCCATCACTCTGTATTTTAGTTACCAGAAAGCAAATGTTTGCAATAAAATTTCAAGTTTTTTGAAGTATATAAAGCGTATTACGAAACTTATTTTGATTTCTTATATATCTGAATAAGCTGCTAAAGTGAAAAGGATTTTTCGTTTTCAAAAATATTTTACAAATTATTACTAACAAGTAAGGTAATTTTATCTTTAAGAATAATAACATACCAGCCATTTCATCCGGATGTGGTCGTTTCCCTTTCTGCGGAAACACTATACAATCCACAATATGATGTAAAGCGGGAACATCGATAGCTTCTAAAATTCGAATATCTCCGGGTTGAGTACAAGGGTTTTTTGTCACCAACACTCGACCTGAAATATTATATATTAATTAAATTACAATAACAGTTTCGATTATATTTAATCTATACAAACAATATTTCTACCTGTTTTAATTACTGTTTCTGTACTAGTTTCTTGTCCTACAATATCTTTCGTGTATTGAATAAATACTTGGCCATATTCGAGAGTGGCCGTCTCGTCTAGAACTCCGAACATGTTTCGTCCTTCGTTGGGATTTATAGCTAATCTAGCTTTCGTCTTAATATCATCTAAAGTAATTAATGATTTTCTATTGTATAGTGAATAATGCGGTAAACACAATATATAATAAGTTTTCAATACTCACAAATCGCTCTTTCTCGAAGACATAATAACAGTTCGCGAAAGAAAGGATCGCCTGTCAATCCTATTCCCGCATTCACCATTTCTTGAAATCCGGTTATGGTTTCCAGATTCAGTTTAGAAGCGAGATATTCTGCAGTCTTTTCATCGTCGGTTAAAATATCTGTTTCGGTCGAAAGCATTTCTTCCTGTAGTTCTAGAAATACTTTATTTGGAACACCCAGTTGATTCAGGATGTTGATCATTGGACGATTCAAGTGTACGGGTACTAAATTTAATAAATAAACAAATAAACATATTAAATATGCATTTTTAATTTTTTGTTTCAATGCTTCGGTCTCGGATATAATCAGTTTTAAACAACGCACGTAATAAAACAGTTGAATAAGAAAAACGGTAAAGATACCAAATTAGAAGCTTAGAAGCAATGTTTGAATTTATATACAGGCCTATACATAATATTCGTATAAAATTAAATACTTACTGGCTTGACTTTGCTTTACTATTTCAAGTTGATCAGATGGACTATCAAATTTTTTCATACTTTTTCTAAACACAATTTTCAGTCCTTCGTCGTCCAACGTCGGATCCATAACAAGCATTCCCTTATAACCTGCATATCTTATTTGAAAAGCACACGAAACTTTTTTCAAATTCAACTTTTCGCTAACCTACAAGAATAAGATGTTATAATACATTTAAAATTCCATTTATCATGTGAATAGGTCTTTCAGAATTAACTAATGAACTGAAACGTCTGTCATTTTATTATTTACTAATGAATTTTATTATTATTATTATTATACATGTTTTTATATGAATAGAAATAGCAATGACCATGATATAGACCGTCTATTTGCCAATATAAACGATCGCGCTTTGCTGACACCTCTGCTATTTGGGCCTGCCTGAGAGCAGTTATTAAGGCGATTTCAAAAAAAGCCTTTTCCAACTGTTTCCAAAAGCTTCGCGAATATTGTCAAAATATTGTATTGTGTCTCGTAGAGCGTACTTTGAAGCCCGATAAAAGTAATATCTTTGTATCTTTTGTTTTCTTGTCAGAATAAAAACAATAAAACAGTAATTTGAAAAATTCTTTGTCTATTAGCACTAAAACTTGGGATTAACTATTTGATTGTCAAAAATATATTTATTGATTATTACCACTTTTGAATTATTAACTTCACATATAACAAAATCTAAAAACTATTTATAATAGACACAAATATACAAACATGTAATTATAAATTAAGATAATAAATGTGGATACTCACGTTCTCGGCTAATTGTCTAGACATTTTGCCAATTCCATCTGAAAAGCAGTAAGGTTTTCCTGTAACAGGATTTACTCCACCTTCAATATCATCCTCTGTAATGACGTAACGATGCTCTAATGGAATTTTCACTGTGTCTTCTGTTTGTGAAAAGCACTGTCCCAAACGAGCCATGTATTTGGATACGCTTTTGGTTATCGAGAAATCACCCATCCATGCTCGAATAGTATCGGCATTATTTCCTTTATTGTCTTCCGCATACATCCAAACACTATGATCTCTGATTTGAGAATTTGACCATGCCAAAAATTTGTAATGTCTTGCGCATATTTTTATTCCTTCAATCATAGGCATCGTAACTGCGAATTCCAATAATGCAGCATCACTGTAATTTGCTGACGCACTCAATTTCTTACCGTCGTCATCTCGAAAAGATACTCGCAGTGCATAATTTGAATCAAAATTTCGCAACATTCTGTTACTGAATTGAAATTCGGGAGGATAAAACAAAGTTGTTGTTGGAGTCAAAACTACTCTCCGAATCAATTTGGCATCAGAAGGCGTTGTATATTCGTTATCTTTTGCACGAATTTGATGATCTGTTTGACAATACCATTGATACATCAATTCGATTGCACGTGGATAGTGGCAGAGTACACCACGTTCTTGCAAATCTAATATATACTCCAAAGCTTTCTCTAAGTAAATTGGATTTTCGTTGCATTGCTGTTCTATCTGATTAATGAATGTTTTCCAATTTCCTCTAGTTTGCTCTTGTAAGACAAAATTTCTAGTAAGTATTGCGTATAAGTTGTAAGTGCAATCGAAATTCTTCAAATTAAAAGTCGGCAATGGCAAATATTTTCTTGTTTCCAATTGTATGCAGCCATAGTAAATAGGCATTGCATTATTACATGAATGAAATCTACTAACTATTTCTTTAGCAAATTCTACATCTTGAATACGTAACATCAAGGCTGTCGATTTGCCATGCACTTCTTTATCGATGGCATCTAAGGTTAGAACTCTTCGTCCCCTAGAATACGCAACGGGAGGATATTTCACTTCTAAAAAGAGTAAAGCACAGTCTTTCTTTATATTTAAAATAATTCTCCTTACGGACGAATATTTTATTTTTAATAAATTATTGTTATCGTCGTAAATATTTCTTTTATGTCTTATTTCCAACATCCGTACGTCATGATAAAAATTTGCCGACAGAAATCCTTTCACATATCTGTGTATTACATAATGCGTTTGTGAGCAGAGAGTTCCAAAGTAAAACATATTTAGAATGATGTTTTCGTGACAAGCAATCTTAGTATGATGAAAACATTTGGCGGTTGAGAATGTTAACCAACATTTTATATCGGTCCTGCACCAGTATGTTGCCAAAATGTCCATTTCGGAATACACGTCGGCAAAGAAACGGTTACTTTTGCACTCTACTTGAATCACGTGTTCGTCAAATACGGGTTTATTGTCGTGTCTTTCTGTCTTTTCCTCTTCAATCCATTGTACTACAGAGAACTTCCACTTTTCGAGATGATTTTCTAAAATCTCTCTAAAGTTGGTGGAAGTTGAATAGTCGTCTAACGAGGTAATTCGAAATTGTAGTCGCATTTCTAGTTATCTGAAATATTAATAATATTAATTTTTCAAATCTGTCTTAAATATAAACAGTCATCTTTGAGAAAGAGCATTATATTCACGTCATTAAAGCAATAATATATGCAACCAACGCGATAATTAATTGTGCTACAGTTTTCAATTTGCTGTCCTATAACGTCAGCAATTTGAAAATTGTAGCCGAATTAATCATCGTGACAGCGCGAATTTATAATTCACACTGTCTGTATGTTCTTCGTTAATCTCGAGAACGGAATTAGATAGATAAAAATCGAGACCGGATATGGAAAGCTTAAGGGCAAGCTCCTATTAAGTATATACGAACTTCCGGTCGGGACTGAAACTATTTTTTTGAATTAAAAGATTAAAAATTGCAGCCAGGCATTGTGACGACGTCACAATAAATTGTTGCTCGTTTAAATATCAAAGGATGTTAGCTATGATGCAATGTTACGTGGTCATAACTAACCTTTAAGTATTGCGAAGGAATATTGTTTATTACTAGATTTTTTTATTACAAAAGTTTTTAGTAAATAGAGAAGCAAATTAATAGCTTTGGAAGAAATCGACACAATTTTATTTAAACTCTTTCCGTCCTGTGATAGTAAGATGAGCTTCTCACTATACCCATCAAGAATTTGGGCGATCGATCGCCCGATCGTTCGGGTAATGAAAGAAAGGACAGAATATCTAGGATAAACAGCCGTAAAAAATTCGTAGGTTTTTCTAATATCAGATTTTTACCACATAAATATGAGAAACTGAATGATTTAGAACAGGTGTGGCGAACTTTTTTGAGCTCGCGTGCCATATAGTAAGCATACTCAGCTTTAGAGTTGTTTATACGTGCCGAAGTTTTAGATTGTAAAAAACGACATTTAAATAAGTTAAAGGAATATTCTTTAATTAAAATAAATGTAAAAAAGCTGATAGAAAAAAAAATGATCAGGTGATAAACCGAAAGAGCGATTGAAAAAGACAGAAGATAATCGAAATCATATGACAGTTATATACGAGATGATTTCTGCTTACGCGCGACTTTGGGCAAGCGTATCATAGGTTTGCCACCTCTGATATAGACCTCTCTAATCACTTGTTTTAATTTATTTACGTTTTTAATTGCCTTCGTTTCAGATAAAAATAAAATTACTTTAGAAAAGAAATTTTACAGTAATTTTATATTTACAGTTCAACATAAGTATCCATATATGTATATATGGATACTTACAAGAAGAATAAAGGAATATATATATTATATTCCTTCATTCTTCTTGAAAAATCTGCAATGGCACTCATATTTTTATTATTCCAATAGACTTCTATAGATATAATCGAGATGGGTTGATAATAATAATAATAAGCGCAGAGCCCGAACGATTAGGAGTTGAAAGTTGAAATTTGGTACACATTTTAGGATACACTATGAGAATGTACGCTAATACAGGATTTTTTAAATTTCCCCTCTCCCGCGGAGAAGACGGAGACGTTTAAGGATTACCCTGAAGAACTCGGCTTCTACTGTACTATTTTAGATGCGGTTTTTTGCGTTTTTGCAAGAAATCAAACATATTTTTAGACCCATATAAAAATACTCTAATTAGACTCGAAAAGGGAGATCTAATTCTTGCGCCCGGTGAAAAACGGGTAAAATAGGATATAATCTAATAATCTTAATGTTTGCTTTCATTACTTCTTGTCGGAGCAACTCCGGGCTCAACTGCTAGTTTCTAAGAATTCAAACATCGAAATTTGCTTTGAAATTCAAATTTAGGAAAGCTTACTGTAGTTTCTTATTGTGACCGTCTAAATTCAATCTGTAAAACCATCCAAGCATTGATACAAAAACGTTTATAATAAAAATTGAATTGAAAGGCTGCATTATAAAGGTNGACAGAATATCTAGGATAAACAGCCGTAAAAAATTCGTAGGTTTTTCTAATATCAGATTTTTACCACATAAATATGAGAAACTGAATGATTTAGAACAGGTGTGGCGAACTTTTTTGAGCTCGCGTGCCATATAGTAAGCATACTCAGCTTTAGAGTTGTTTATACGTGCCGAAGTTTTAGATTGTAAAAAACGACATTTAAATAAGTTAAAGGAATATTCTTTAATTAAAATAAATGTAAAAAAGCTGATAGAAAAAAAAAATGATCAGGTGATAAACCGAAAGAGCGATTGAAAAAGACAGAAGATAATCGAAATCATATGACAGTTATATACGAGATGATTTCTGCTTACGCGCGACTTTGGGCAAGCGTATCATAGGTTTGCCACCCCTGATATAGACCTCTCTAATCACTTGTTTTAATTTATTTACGTTTTTAATTGCCTTCGTAACAGATAAAAACAAAATTGCTTTAGAAAAGAAATTTTACAGTAATTTTATATTTACAGTTTAACATAAGTATCCATATATATATATATATGGATTCCATATATCCATATGGATCCATATATATATATACTTACAAGAAGAATGAAGGAATATAATATATATATATTATATTCCTTCATTCTTGTTGCAAAATGGCACTCATATTTTTATTATTCCAATAGACTTCTATAGATATAATCGAGATGGGTTGATAATAATAAGCGCAGAGCCCAAACGATTAGAAGTTGAAAGTTGAAATTTGGTACACATTTTAGGATACACCATGAGAATGTACACTAATAAAGGATTTTTTAAATTTCTCCTCTCCCGCGGAGAAGAAGGAGAAGTTTAAGGATTACCCTGAAGAACTCGGCTTCTACTGTACTATTTTAGATGCGTTTTTTTTGCGTTTTTGCAGGAAATCAAACATATTTTTAGACCCATGTAAAAATTCTCTAATTAGACTCGAAAAGAGAGATCTAATTCTTGCGCCCGGTGAAAAACGGGTAAAATCGGATATAATCTAATAATCTTAATGTTTGCTTTCATTACTTCTTGTAGGAGCAACTCCGGGCTCAACTGTTAGTTTCTAATAATTCAAACATCGAAATTTGCTTTGAAATTCAAATTTAGGAAAGCTTACTGTAGTTTCTTATTGTGACCGTCTAAATTCAATCTGTAAAACCATCCAAGCATTGATACAAAAACGTTTATAATAAAAATTGAATTGAAAGGCTGCATTATAAAGGTTTTTGTGTCGATGCTTGAGTAGTAATTAAGTGCAGTTAAAGAAGAATGTAAGACCA